TAACTGGTTTGACCATGCATGGTAACATATGCAAACCATTTATATACAGGGGATTCTCTCACATTCACCAAAAAAAAAAAAAAAGCGAAAACGTACCGCTCTTAATCTCAGCTTTTGTCGCATTTTTCGAAACTCCAAGGACGGAATAGTAATTCTAGAATTGCATACAATCACCCATCAGCAATCAAGATCATAACAGTAGTGTTCTAAACAAGGCAGATATACACATTCTGAAAAGGCCAGAGAATAGGGATACGCACTGCATCAGCTCTAACAGTGAAGCGAGATCCTCTACGAGGATGCATATTTCTGGACATTCCCGTCATGGACAAGAAGGGCAAGGACCCATGTGAGAACATACTTGACCTTGAAGCTCCCAAATAATTGATTTGGCTCATGGAACTGCAAGGTTGTGAAGAGGAAAATCTTTAATGCTATTTTAGATACATAACTCTTCTAAAAACTTGTCTTTTCCTGTCTCATTCATTGTCCAAGGAATACTCTTCAAAGTGGCAAAACTCTTAGTCTAGAAATCACATATTACTAACTTCAATATCAATTCTACAAAAACTGATCTTAGGATGCGCAATCACAATGTCAACAAATCAAACTTGTTTCACTATCACTATGGGAATTAACAGAAAAAATCATACTTATGGTGGCGGGTTGATTCGACTCTGCTCGGGTAATAAGCTCTGATTGCAAATTGAGGATGAATACTCCATTGAGCAACGCAAGTACTTCCAAATTGTATTAGAGCCATTTAGCTTAATACACTCCCTGCAACACAATCAAGTAGCTCAAAATCTGTTCTTTTCTACTCTATAGAATGCAGAAGCAATCATGAGACAAATGCTAGCCCATTTTTCGAACAAGAGAAACAAAAACCTATCTATATTTCAAACCTAAGAAGCAAATTGCAATACAAAGAAAGAAATAAACAACATTGGCATCACCAACAAGCACAAACAATGAGGTTACTCGCAAATACTTCAAATAAAGCAGAATCAGAATCATTTCTATAGAAATCCGAAGCATACGAATTCTTCAGACTAAACCCAAAACATAAATTCATTTCTACAAAAATCCGAGCTGGGCCAGAAACGAAATTCAAGGTTGATTCCAATACGCCGCAATTTTGCCCTCTCCGGGAGAAAAAAAAAAAAACAGCCCAAGCAAAGGGAAAACGTCGATGCTCGAGATAGAGAAAGAGACGAACGCAGAGATTTGACTCCGGTAGAGAGATTCAGGTGGAGAAGGTGAATCGTACCTGAATCAATGGTGGCTGGACGGGAGGAGGAAGGTTTGTCCGAGAGAGAGATAAGAAAAAGAAAAAGAGAACGAAAACTGATGATGAGTAGAGAAACGAATGAAAGGAGGACGCTAGAAGAACGTAGCCCC